TTTCTTTATTTCCATCCTACTCAAAGCCAATACCAAGACTGGTACTTATCAATACTCTCCCTATGTAGTTTGACAACCTACTTTTTCCCCCTCTTTTTAGCAACTGAAAATGTCATTCTTTGGAAGTTCCAGCTTTATTTGGGTTTGGGAAGGGGGGATGGGGCTCATTTGTGACTTCCTACCTTGTTCAGGACCCCAGAGATTTCTTGTCACCAGACTCTAGGCTAACGGATCAGGAAACAGCATCACTTCCAAAGCTAGCTTATAATGGATTCATGTTATATTTATATTTCTGGCCTCTAAGAAGTCCTTACTGTCTTCAGTTCAGCCATTACATAAAAGAGTTTTGATGTGGGATGCCTGGGTGGCTCAGTCAGTTAAGCGTCTGCCTTCGGCTCAGGTCATGATCCCAGAGTCCTGGGATCAAGTCCCACATCAGGCTCCTTGCTCAGCAAGGGGCCTGCTTCTCCCTCCGCCTGCCTCTGTCTCTCTGATAAATAAAATCTAAAAAAAAAAAAAAATTAAGGAAAAAAAAAAGTTTTGATGTGTTTTTTAATCCAGCATTTTTTGGTGTATAGAACTGCAAAGAGGTTCTCCATACCTCTAGCCCACCATATTGCCAAAAACAGAAGTCCTTAAGGTTTCTTGGACAATGGTAGGAAAAAACCCACTTTATGATACGTATAGTAGAGAAGGTAGAGTTTTCAATAATTTTTAAAAGAGACCTTGGTTAAATTTCCAGTTCTTTAATTATAAAATAGGACTAATAATCATAGAATCAACCCTAATACTGAACAGTAAGAAGAGGGTTTCCTACCAAATCACATTTGTCCAGTTTAGCCATTCCCTGCTGCCCAGAGTTACTATTTTTATAGACCACCCAGAGTGGGCCAGCTCTTTGAATCTTGTGCCAGAAAAAGCTAGATGCTGTCTTTACCATCCACATACCATCAATAAGGTCAGAAAAATTAACCCTTTTAAGTCTGTTTGATTTATTTTCTTTTTCTGTGTGATGACTATTCAGTAACCTAAAACTCTTCAAACTAGTCAGTGTTGCTGCACAAAACTCTCTTACCTTAGAGGTAAGATGTATTTATATTTCATCACAAGTGCCTTCAGGAAATGTTTCTTAAGGCATACCTATAGGCAGCAAACTTGTGTGTTAGACAGTTTTTCACTTGGACCCATACCAATATGGCACAGAAGTTCAATTCTACACTGAACATCTGAAACAACACTAACAACTTTATTATGGTAATGTGATCTGTTCTGAAAGAGTTGAGTTTCCTAAATTTAAAATGCTTTGGAAATCTCTCATTAAAATGTCTGCTTGTCTGGCCAGACTTAGTTTTGTGGTACTTGAGAAAAGTTCAGTTAGAACTCACAATCTGTTTTTTTCTATACCAATTAAAACACAATAATGCTTGCTTAAGGTTTATAGATATACACAGCCATGGGTGTGGAAGTTATTCAATAAATACATTCCAGGTGGTATTAATAAGGTTCAACTGGGGAGTTTCTGCTCCTCTGGCAGATTCCCAGCCCTAAGAAGATCTTCAGTCTTGCAGTGAAGAGGCTGCGAAGGATGGGGTCAATCAAGAATGTTTCTGAAGAACATACGTGATGGCACATCTCCACTGCCAACATTTGGTTCAGGGGCAGGTTTCAGTCTTTCAGACCACTGTTGCTCTCTCAGCTTTGATATTTCACCATTCATGCCAAATTTTGTTGAGAAGAAATAGTTCCTGGTTTTTATGAGCTCCATAGCCAGTTTCTTTTCTGTTTCCTTCTTGGTGTCTGGAGATATTCCAACCTGTTAAGATACTTTGATATTTCTTCACTCCTTCCAGCTCTTTGTTGCTTTTCTTCAATCTAAGCCTTTTAACATGTTTTTAAAAATCTGCACACTTCCTAAATCTTCCCACTACTTCTTCACTTTCTGTTCCTCAAGCCTTCACAAAGAGACAGACACAGATCTCCTCTGGCTGTTGCTCAGGACTTTCAAATATTTAAGCTTTCTCCCATTCTTCATTCTGCTGTTTGTACTATTCATCTAATTTTTTGGACACAAAACTTTTGTGATAAAATAGGACCAAAGTCTCCTTCCAAAATGAATCAACACATCAGCTCATAGAAATGAGATCCATCCCCACACACCCCCTCTACCCTCAGTAGCTGTAAACATCATTAATTCCTTTAAAAATTGTCTTTTTTTCCCCCAAATCTCTATTTACGTATGAGGGCTTCCACAACAATGTGTATCCCTAACCCCATCCTCACTTCCTACAGCACAACCCCATCTTCTTTACTGTCCACCGAACACTACTGCATAAAGCCTCTGAGACTGCCATTATCAGAGTTAAATGAAAAAATAATTTTAATACGAAGAATATGGGTAAAATACCAACAAGTAATAAAAAAATTCTTTTTAATAATTTAAATGCTTGCTCCAGGTATCTCTTCTACATATTCTGTGTAACATGTCTAATACAGTATAAACTTTCAAAAATAGGTCAACTCAGAAATATGACCTCTCTCCACTGAATCATTTTAGTAAAAAGTATATGGGTGTCTGAGGCTCCATGATGGGATAGCAAATGCTCTAGACAGTTGTGCTAATACCAAATGATAATGAAAGTTGAATACAAGATCTACATTTTACTTTAAGCGACTGCCTTCGGCTCAGGTCATGATCCTGGAGTCCCGGGATCGAGTCCCGCATAGGGCTCCCTGCTCGGCAGGGAGTCTGCTTCTCCCTCTGACCCTCCTCCCTCTCATGCTCTCTGTCTCTCATTCTCTCTGTCTCAAATAAATAAAATCTTAAAAAAAAAAAAAAAAAGAAACTATGTAGAAATAAAATAGGAATGACCTAGCTTGACCATCAAACATGTGAAAAAGATATGGGGATTTTAGTTAATAATACATCTCTTCAAAATAGCTACCACAATCTTAGGCTGCATGAAAAAATGAGCTGTTGGGAAGTGAGGATTTCACTAGTCTACACAGGTCAGAAGACAGTATCTAAGGAAATGTGTTGGCTCTGGACATCACCTTGCAAAATGAACACTGATAAGAGTGTCAACCACAAAGCCTGGAACACAGAGCAGCTCCAAGATTACCATCAAGCTGCTAGTTGCCAAATTCAATGTTCTCACCTCAGGTTTCTGCCCCCACAAGCCTCTTTTTGAAACTCTTTCACTCTTGGCTTCAGAAAACCACATTCTTCTGGTTCTGTCCCTAACACTACTCACTCTGAGTTTCTTTTCCTGAGTTTGTCATGCTGGTTTCCCCAGATTCTCATTACTCTTCTTCCCCTACTTGTTCTCCTTGGATAATCTCACCTACTCCACTACCATCTGTCTGTCTATATATCACGGTAATTCCCAATTATCTAGTCAGTATCACAAACTTCCCATACTAATAAAAACCATTATCCTCCATCATAAAATGATTCATCTTCCTATGTCCTGCCTTAAATAAGAGCATCACTATTCTGTCCCTCAAGATAGAAATTTGGAATTATCTTTAGCTTCTCTCTTTTCTTCTTCATGTCCCAATCTGTATCAGTCACCAAACCCCAGAGTCTATACGTCAGAGGTGCACCCTGAGATAGCCTGTCCTTTTCATCACCACAGTCCAAATCCAGACTCGCACATATCACCTCAAATACACCAACAGCCTCCCGGTGCTGTCTCTGCCAATAGCATCTGCTCAGTCGGTCCATTCTCGCTACCCCCCTCAGTCACCTTCCTAACACCAAAACTGATTATGCTACCCTCTGCCTCATGGTGTACAGTAGCAGACTAGGCTCTTCAGTATCTGGCCCCCACCGTATACCTGTAGCCCCATCTCCCTCATACACATTCCCACATGTACAAGATATACATGAATTTTTCACTTTTTCCTGAAAACGTCAAGCCATTTCCTAATTGTGCCTTTTAACTACTGTGGTCCCTCTACTTGGCATCTCTTTCCATACTCTCCAACTGACAAACTGCTATCACACTTCAAGATTCAGCTTCCTCTATGGGGATTTCCCTTACCACTCTCATTCATCAAAACATGTTCTGAACATCTTTCAATATGACATGAACCTTCTCAAGGAATTCTTACTCTCATTTATATTTTTTTAGTAATTTGTTCATATTGCTATTATTATATACATCACATTATACTCAAATCATCCTTTAACTTGTCTGTCTTCTCAGCTAGACCAGGAGATCTTTGAAGGTATGGCCCCAGTCTAATTACTCTTTGACTCCCCAGCACCTAGGATGCTGATTTCATTCATTTATCAAATGTGCCACAGTGAGTGGGAGTCTGAAAAAGAGGGTCTCTAGGGTCCCTCTGAATTCTAGTATTCTATGACTCTAACCTATGACTCTAGTATTCTACGACTCTAACCTAAAAGCGGTGTTTCTCAAGTCATGATTAGCTAGAAACCTGTACCAAAATCAACTAGAACACTATAAAATATTTAGATTCTTGATTCCCATTCCAAACCTACTAAGTCAGAAACCGCTAATTACCGCTCTAGCTGCTTCCTTTCCGGCTAGGGAGGAAGCCACCCAAGTGTCTTATAATCACTGAAGCTGCTCAAGCATCACAGTACTGAGGCAGGTAGGTAACGTATTATTATAAAGGTTTAACCATTTTAAAGGTAAGGAACTGAAGCACAGAGGTTAAGTAACTTGCCTAAGACCACAAAGTTACCAAGTGGAGGAGCTACCATTTGAACTTGGGCAGTTTGATTTCAAGGCCCACCACTGATCTGTTTGGTAACTGAAGGCTTTCTTCATTAAACATCATGATTTTTCTGCCAGACCTAGATGAAGAACAAGGAAGAGGAACCAATCTTTCTTTTTCCCCTCTTCTTATGTAATTATTACGTCTGAAAAGAACAAAACAAATCTGTTTTTCTCTAGCTTACAACTAGAGCTGAAAAGAATGAGAACTGAGAGTTTTAGCATTAGTACCTGAACAGACGGCTCTCTGCTTACCTCATGGGTCCATAGCTGAGTACTATAAATGCCAGGACCACCATCACACAGATAGCTCTTCGCTTCGGATTAGGAACTTTAAGCCTCTGGTTCTAAAAGAAATAACCATGTTAAATACAGTTAAACTACGTATCAATCTCACAAAAAGCAGCATCTAAGATAAGCGCACCCCTCTTCACCAATTTAATAGTTAAAAAAAAACGAAACTCAAAGGTGAGGAAACAGTACTTTTCACAAGACTAGAGCAGAGCCTTCTAGGTTCCCTGCTGTAGCAGAGAGAGAAAAGGAAAGGCGCGGGAGAAGAGAAACACAAGGGCCACTCCCTTGCAGTTTCTTCTGCACCCAAAAGGAAAGAATTCAACAATTTAACATTTTTATGGGTCGTCAAAGAATTTTAAAATACATCTGTAGTTTATTTCCCTGTCTCTTCAATCTCTTAACATGATGGAACAGTCCCATGTGCTCAGGGCAAGACAGAACAGTGGAAGAAGCCCATGCATTAGGCACAGGCATCCCTTTGGTTCAGGACGGTGCAGTGGGAAATCCTGAGACAGCAGGTTTCATGAACAGAATTAAGGAGAACATTGACCTTATCGGGACCAGAATAGCAACAAAATGCAAAAAACATAATAGTGGTCAGGTGGACAGAGAAAAGTCTTTAAAATTTTTTATTTTGTGTTTCCTTTTTTTTGAGACAGAGAGTGAGAGAGCATGAGGGGAGGGGCAGAGGGAGACAATCTCAAGTGGACTTCCCACTGAGCATGGAGCCTGACTCAGGCTCGATCCCAGGACCCTGAGATCATAACCTGAGCCGAAATCGAGTCAGATGCTCAACCAACTGAGCCACCCAAATGCCCCTGTATTTTCTTTTTTAAAAGGAAAGACCTGGTGAGACTGTTTAGGGTCCTCAAGGGGATTCATTTAGTCAGAAAAGAGAGCGAGCAAGCTACCAAGGAAACACACAGCTTTTGAATGAAGACTGGGAGGTACAACTCACAAGCTCCTCTTTCCAATGCTTTACTCTGACTGCAAATGCTTTAGGGTTTATTGTGCCCTCTTTTTTTCTTCCTTTTTTTTTTTTAAGATTTTTATTTATTTATTTGAGAGAGAGAGAGCATGAGAGAGAGAGAGAGCATGAGAGGGGGGAGGGTCAGAGGGAGTAGCAGACTCCCCGCTGAGCAGGGAGCCCGATGTGGGACTCCATCCCAGGACTCTGGGACCATGACCTGAGCCGAAGGCAGACGCCTAACCGACTGAGCTACCCAGGCGCCCTATGCCCTCTTTTTTTCTAGTACTATTGTTTTACACAATTTCCAATTGGTTTCCCAGGAAAAAAGAATACTTGAACCCATCTCACTGGGGTGTATCACTAGCACTCACCTCTGACACGACTTCATCCAGCTGTCGCTTCAGTGATCCATTCTCTTTCTTTAGCTTCTCATTCTCCGAAAGCGCAGCCTTTAACCTGGCCTCTAAGCCAAGCATATATTCTTTCTTCTTCTTGCGGGACTGACAAGCAGACTCTCGATTTTTTATCATACGTTGCTGTCTCCTTAGCACGGCAATCTAGGAAAAGTTATAACAAATCAGAAATATTCTGATTTTAGAATCAGATCAGAATATACTGATTTTTACCATCATTTTTAAACTAAACTGTTCAAAACACAGGTTACTGGTTGCTTTAAAACAGGTTTTAAAAAATATTACTCAGGGGTGCCTGGGTAGCTCAGTCGTTAAGTGTCTGCCTTCGGCTCAGGTCATGGTCCCGGGGTCCTGGGATCGAGCCCCGCATCGGGCTCCTTCCTCAGTGGGAAGCCTGCTTCTCCCTCTCCCACTCCCCCTGCTTGTGTTCCCTCTCTCGCTGTGTCTCTCTCTGTCAAATAAATAAAATCTTAAAAAATATATATATATATTACTCAAATTAAGCAAGCTGAAATCAAATTATTAAAAATGGCCCTCTACACATTCTGCATGGAGCCCTGGGTGTTATGCATAAACAATGAATCATGGAACACTACATCAAAAACCAATGATGTAATGTATGGTGATTAACATAACAATTAAAAATATTTTTTTAAAAAAATGGCCCTCTAAAACCTAAATGTTGAATGATTTCTTCTGGTGTTTTCTAAGGCTTCTTTACTGATCTTCCAATCTTCCCTTTAGAAACTCCCTCAGGAAAAAAAAAAAAAACTCTCTCAGAAAGTGCCCTTACATATCCATATATGTACATATCCATACACCTCACTCTATGTCTCAGGCCCTGAATTGACTATTTTCCAGAACCACGTATCCAGCTACTTATAAGGCCATTTCTACTTGCAAAGTTACCACCACTTCAAATTCCATATGTACAAACTGAACTCATCATCTCCCTCTACCTAGATTTGTTTATCCTACCCATCTTCTATCAGTGGTAAGTAACTCTCAAGATATCTAGGAAGAAGTCACTATTAACTTATTTCTTCCTTCATTCTCCATATTTATTCCCCTCTCTCAACCTCTGGTTCACTCACTCAATGTGCACTGAGGATATGCTAATGACCAAGTTTCTTCCAGTGACAGTGTGTCTCAGTTATTCCCATCTATTCCTGCCGTCACCCTCCCAAGGTAGGCACTCATTAACTCATCCCCAGACTACTACAATAATCTCCTAAATATTTTCACTGGTCTCCAATCTCTTCCTACCTACCATTTATAAGATAACTCACCTGGGAGAAATTGTTTATCTTGCTACTCTATTGCAAAAACAAGCTATTCATGCATCCTCGCTGGCCACCTTTGCTTTCAAAGCCTTCCCATAATGTGACCATCCCTCTAAACAACCACACCTTCTGCCCTAACCCGACAACTATTCAATCCACAGCCAGATTCTTACCATTTAAGGCTACTCTAATATCTCCACATGTGCCTAAAGTCATTCCTTTAGTCACAGTGTTTACTCCAATTTCGAACGCGTTCTCCTCCACTAACTTAATTCTAAGGACCTTCTACATTCTGATTATGCTAAACCATCTTCCCTCAATGTCTTATTCTCTTATAATTTGGAAAATACACCTGAACACTTAATGGTCTCAACTGTTTCATGACTATTAACTCTCTCTCTCAACCTAAATGTTATACCTTGGAAGCCAAAACCATGTAATAACTACATTTTGGTTTCCTACCCTCAATTATCTACCATAATCAAAACTTAACTGAGCAAAATTATTTTTGTCATTTTCCTAAACAAGTCATGGAACCTATCTGTTATAGCATTAGTCTAATTTATTTGAGGCAGAGGGTGAGGTAGCAAAATTAAGTCCATAAAAAGCACCAAATAATATTAAGTTGATTAATTTAAGTACACAGATGACTGAATTACTGACCTTTTATGTTTTTAAAAAATAAACATTCCACTCTGTGGTATTCAATAATTCTTACTGAGACTAGTAAATAGAATTAAATCATTTAATATTGATTTTTTAGGGGCGCCTGGGTGGCTCAGTTGGTTAAGCGACTGCCTTCGGCTCAGGTCATGATCCTGGAGTCTCGGGATCAAGCCCCGCATCGGGCTCCCTGCTCAGCAGGGAGTCTGCTTCTCCCTCTGACCCTCCCCCCTCTCATGCTCTCTCTATCTCATTCTCTCTCTCAAAAAAATAAATAAAATCTTTAAAAATATTCATTTCTTTAAAAATAACAACACAATTCTAACCCCATACTACATTTCCTCAAAAGAGCCAAAGCCAATCTCTCTGCAGTAAATACTGTCAACAAACTTTCAATCAGAACCTACCAGGAAAAAAAGCCACATGAGATGTCAAAAGAGGGTGTTTTTCTCTTTTTTTCCCTTTAACTGAAACGTCTTAAGATTGCTAACTTATAGGGCGCCTGGGTGGCTCAGTCGTTAAGCGTCTGCCTTCGGCTCAGGTCATGGTCCCAGGGTCCTGGGATCAAGTCCCACATCGGGCTCCCCGCTCCGTGGGGAGCCTGCTTCTCCCTCTCCCACTGCCCCTGCTTGTGTTCCCTCTCTCGCTGTGTCTCTCTCTGTCAAATAAAGGAATAAAATCTTTAAAAAAAAAAAAAAAGATTGCTAACTTATAGAACCGTCATGTGTAAAATTTCCCTATGGAGTAACTATCCCACTCTTCAGTAATGCCACACACCAGGAGTGGCAAAGCCATGATGGATGGATCATTCGCCACATCAAACTATTCTCTGGACAATGCCACTTTGTTCAGTCTACTGTTCTTCTTAGTGTTCTTCATGGTTCCTGAGAACGTCAATGTCCATAATTAATACTTAACACCAGAGTGCTGAAGTACACAGAACACTGAACAAGCACAGGAAAGAGAAGGTTCCCAGATGGAAGAGTTTATACTAAAGTTAGATAAAAGGCAACCTTACAAAGGCTAATTAACCTATGGAATTTAGGGAGGCTTACAGATGGAACACCATTTAATAAATTTCAAACAAGGATTAGGAATTTCTATAAACAATAAAAGCACCTGCATATTACAAAGCATTTAAGTTTCAAAGGCTGTCAGTGCACATGCCTCATGCAAAAAAAAATGAAAACCACCTGTGGCCATCCATTTCTTCCCATGGAAAAAGATACTATAGTTCTGAAAATAAATATTCAATACTACCAATAAACACAAAGGATAGAGAATAAAAATAAATGAAACCCACAGGAATCACCAAACACAAGAGTTTCAGCTTTACAGCTCAGCAAGCTATCTTCAGCTATCTGAATATATAATATTTAAGTTATTCTGTATTTCCTAGACAAAAAAAATTATGATTTTCAGACTACACACACACACACACACACACACACCCATGGTGCTTGTTATTTTGGTGGGGGGTATATTTTACAAGAAAAAAAAAATTAGACTGTCATTACTGCTTTGTAAACGGATTTTTGCATACAATGTGTTATGATCATCTTTGACATGCAATGAGAATGGCAGCATAGTATTTCAATTATTTTGATGTTCTATATTTAATCTCCTCTTGATTCTTTAAAATAAGCCTCATCATTTGATCCACTGTTAGAGGGAGAAGTGCCACAGCTGGAACTCAGGTCAGCTGACTCTAAGCCCAACACACACAACCCCAGCACACAACAGCACATACTGTTGTTAATACCAAATGGAAGTCCTGAATCCCAGCATGGAACTCTAACCTCCGTGGACTCTGTGCTTACTTTCATTATGCACTTGGTCAAAAGGAAGGCTTATGGAAACGCTTGTATCTAGAAGCGTAATCTCCTCTAGCAGTCTGAAAACATAAAATCAATAGTCTGGCTCATTAATCAATTGACATTTCTCTCTTACGGGCATATCAGATGATTTAACATGACTAAAATGAGTGAACAGCCGGTCAGTCCCTGCTTCTGATCATCCTGCCTTCAGACAACTCTCCCTTCAAGCATTGTGCCTTGGAAAAAGAAAAAAGAAAAACTTCACAGCTGTAAAATATTCTCGCCCTTCAGTGCCATTATACTGTAATATGGTGTTGCATTATTAAACATTTGTCTGACTGTAAAAAAGACGTGTAAAAAGACAACTTTCACAAATGAGTAAGTACTTTTTGAAGGCTCAACCAATTTGAGTCAAAATTCCATGTGTGCTTGCATTTTGTTTTTTACTTTTAAAAGTTATCAATCAATAAACACTGTATTATGTTCTTCTTATAAATAAAATAGACTATTTAGACCCCTGATTCTGTGATGTTGCTAGGAAATGAGCTTCAAAGTCCTATATGACTATAAATCAAAGATACTAAAATAGGGTATTTTAATGCTAAGAAATACATTCCAACATCTCACATGAACTCAAACCAGATCAAGTACTGATACCTAATCAGTAGGGGGAGTGGGAGAGGGAGAAGCAGGCCTCCCGCTGAGCAGGGAGCCCAATGTGGGGCTTGATCACTGAATCACTGGTTTACTACATATCATTCTCAGTTCTAAGTCTTATTTCACTGAATCTCTAAATTAATATACAAACTGTTATTAACTTCTTCGTATCAGACAAACCAATTTTTCCATTACACACAAAAAGCTGTGTCTATTTGAAATTGATTTAAAAGCCAAAGAAGTAAATTCTCTTACACATTTCCAATTTACACAACATATATTATTGCATATCATAGTAAATATATTTACAAATACACTCTAAAAAATGTGTACAGTTAAAATCATTAGCAAATTTAATGTGTGGCAATCTTATTTCAAATATTCAAATAAATTATTTTAGTTTGATTTCTACTATGAATCTTAAGAATACTCCTTTTTGGGGGGCACTGGGCTGACTCAGTCAGTGGAGCAAGCAACTCTTGATCTCAGGGTTTTGAGTTTGAGCCCCATGTTGGGTGTAGAGATTACTTAAAACTAAAAAAATCATTAAAAAAAAATACTCCCTTTTTCTCAGAAAATTGTTTAAAACAGAAAAGGGGAGGGGCGCCTGGATGGCTCAGTCATTAAGCATCTGCCTTCGGCTCAGGTCATGATCCCAGGGTCCTGGGATCGAGCCCCACATCGGGGGGGTCCCTGCTCAGCAGGAGGCCTGCTTCTCCCTCTC